GTTTTGCAGGGGAGTCAGTTAGCGCGGAAGGATGTGTCTCGCTCCCTGTTACCATTGGCGAGGGAGATCAACAAGTAACTAAAGTTGCAGAATTTGTCGTGATAGATCGGAGCTCTGTGTACAACGCCATAATTGGTCGACCCTTGATTCGTGATCTCAGAGCAGTCCCATCTACTTACCACCAGGTCTTGAAGTATCCCACCTCGGCAGGAATTGCAAAAGTCCGGGGTGAGCAAAAAATGTCCAGAGAATGCTACGCAGCCGCGATGAAGGGAACAACCACTTGTGCAGCGGTCACGGGCGCGGCAGAGCCGTGTGCCGACGAACCAGATCCGAGCCGTGGTACCCCAGCTGAAGAACTAGAACTTGTCCCCCTGCTGGGGCCGGAAAAGCAGGTCAGCATCGGCAGCAGGCTGAGGGCCGAGGTGAAAGAGGAGCTCGTCAGTTTTCTGAAAGCAAATGCTGATGTGTTCGCATGGTCCCATGACGACATGCCGGGCATAGACCCAAGTATAATGGTGCATAGGCTTAATGTAGATCCTAGTTATAGGCCTGTGAGGCAAAAGCGTCGGTCTGTCGACCCCGAGCGAAGTAATGTAATTTGTAAAGAAGTCGAGCAGTTGCTATGAGCTAAATTCATAAGAGAAGTTCATTACCCCGCGTGGTTGTCTAACATAGTTTTAGTTAAAAAGCCCAACGGCAAGTGGCACGTCTGTATTGCCTTCACGAGCCTCAATAAGGCGTGTCCGAAAGACAGTTTTCCCCTACCTCGGATAGACCAGCTCGTCGACGCAACGGCCGGGCACGAGCTACTCTCCTTCATGGATGCGTACTCTAGGTACAATCAGATTCGGATGCATGTGCCCGACCAAGAGCATACAGATTTTGTTACCGACCAAGGGCTGTATTGCTACAATGTCATGCCTTTCGGTCTGAAAAATGCCGGGGCGACCTACCAGCGAATGGTCAACATGATGTTCGTCAAGCAAATCGGACGGAACATGGAGGTATATGTAGACGACATGTTTGTATAAAGTAAGCAGACGAGCACCCATTTAGTCGACCTAGCAAAGACCTTCAGCGTGCTTCGAAAGTATCAGATGGAGCTCAACCCGAGCAAGTGCGCCTTTGGGGTCTCATCGGGAAAGTTCCTCGGGTTCATGGTCCACGAACACGGAATTGAATCAAATCCAAACAAGATAAAAGCAGTCCTCGAGATGGAGGCACCGAGGAATATTAAGCAGCTACAGAGGTTAAACGGCCGATTGGCAGCCTTGAATCGCTTCGTATCTCGCTCCACTGACAAGTGCCACCCTTTCTTCCAAACACTAAGGAAAAAGGGTCGGTTCGAATTAACCGATGATTGCGAAGCCGCACTTCGGCAGTTGAAGCAGTACCTCAGCTCGGCTCCTTTGTTGTCAAAGCCGCTACCTGGTGATGTACTCTACCTGTACCTAGCAGTGTTGGAAAATGCAGTGAGCTCAGTACTTATCAGGGAGGCGGAAGAACGACAGAGCCCTGTTTACTACACAAGCAAATCGTTGACCGAGGACGAGGTTCGTTACCCCTGTGTTGAGAAGCTGGCCCTAACCTTGATAACCTCGGCGCGGCGCCTACGACCATACTTCCAGGCGCACAAAATAATCTAACCGACAAACTTCCCCTTAAGGTAGATTTTCTACAAGCCCGAAATGTCGGGTCGCCTGATGAAGTGGGCACTAGAGCTCAGTGAGCACGACATCGCCTTCGAGCCGAAAAC